AGAGAATAGTTTTCTAAAAAAACCTTTTTTTTTATTTGACAATAACTTCGTCAAAAAACATGTTTTTTTGGAATTTTTTTTTAAATGAAAGCTAAAAGTCCAAATTTTTCAATGGTATAATAAAAATTAACAATATCTAACCCCTTTGTGCCCGTACATCGCGTCAAACTTCACAAAAAATTAATACAATTTTCTATGATTGTTTAGAGTGTAATTGTACATAGTTGCAAAATATATTAATTAAAAACAATTAGAGTGCATAAAAGTATAGATTTTAAGCTTCAAAATGAGTTAAAGCAGAAGCATTTTTGATCATTTTTAAAGAAGTTATGACACTTTCAATTTTGCCATTTTTTTATAAGTTTCTATGTGTACTGATACTTTTGAGCGGTACTGTAGTTTAAAATGTGTTGTTTTCGTAATGAATCTATTGTTTCTACATTGAATCTATTGTTTCTGTATTTATTGATGTTGCTGATCCATTTGAAATCATTATTTAAAATAACAAAAAGATTTAATGATATGAAATACTAGAAATTTAAAAAATTTTATAACTTCGAAAAATATTCAATGTTGTAAAGAATTGACATAATACAGATAAAAATTGCAAGTATTTAGTTTTGATCTTATTATTCAATAAAAAAAAAATACATTGCACACAAATATAACGTTATTTTGTAGATGATATGTCAATAATCATGGAGAATTGTAATATTGCCAACACAAAATTTAAATTTGATTAAAAAAAAATTATTTTGAAAACTATTATATTTTTAATGAATTTTTGCTTCAAAGAAACAATAATGGCAAAAAATGTCTCGCAACTAAAGCTACAAATAATTAAAAGGAGTTTTTGTATAGTTAATATCATTATTATCTTAAACAGTGTTCTTAAAAATAAAAGCAGAATGTTTCAAAAAACCTTATTTTGAAAATTTATTAAATTAAACAAAACACTTTGAACAGTATTGAGAAAAATGAGAATGTAATCAGCAGGCATTTAACGTATTGTTTCTTTCATTACGGTAATTTTTTTTATTTGTAACGCTAGCACAATACCGTTGACTCTAACACTGATATAAATTGATAATTGAAGGCAGTAAATAAAAAATAAATAAAAATTTACGATTATATACTTTGATTTAAAAAGTTTCAAGACTGAAAGTAAAATTTATTTGTTTTTGTTAACTATTCACTCATTATATATTTTTTTGTTTTTTTCCAGCAACAACACCCGGGAATTGCACATCTCATGGTATGTATTAAATTAAACCATTGCCAATTTTTTTTCATAATTCTTAGTTTATTAATCAACTGAGTTTTTTTAAATAAAAAAAGGTTTTTGATTACAATCGAAATATTGTGGCAATAACAAAAAAGAAGAAGAATAACTCCCATGATTATCAATTATTCGGTTAAATTTCGCAAGAATGCATGTTTAAATATTTCGTAATCTTAATTAGAAAAATGTGCTCTGGCGTTTTAAAGAACAAAAATGTTCTTTTCTGTTGCGAAAAATGTAAAAGGTGCAGTTTTTTTAAGCACTAGTTTTATATATTTTAAAAGCAAACACCTTTTTTTTCCTTTTTAGAAGAGAATGTTATTTGAAATATGAAACCAAAAAAAATTTGAAGAGGAATAAATTAACAAATGAAATTATCGCATATTTTCTATTATTGTTTTAACTCGAAATGTAATGACAAAACGATAGAATAATTGTTTAATTCAATGTAAAATAGATTTTTTTTTTATTTTACAGCTCTTTCTTACTGTTTTAATATAGATTTGTATTAATTGCCTTGTTAAAACATGTACTAGTAAAGCTATATGCACTTTTTAATAATAGTGTAGCCATATGCTTCGTAGCCCATATTATCAGTCTTTATGTTTCAAAATAATTTTCTTGTTATTCCTTTTTTTTTTTGTGGAGCTCTTTTTACCAGCTTTTGTGCATCATGATTCTAAAAATTATTTTCTAGATATTCCTTTTTTTGAGTAAGCGGGGTTAAAAAATGAACCTTTAGCTATAATTCTTTCTTTTTTTCATGTAGCCTGAGTACTTACGTGTGACATAAAAAAAATTTCTTTAACTATCCTTAATTTTGTTTGTGAATCCCATGTTATAAACATATATGTATCATACTAAAAAAATAGCTTGTGATGCCTATGTTTTTATGTATCATGTCCATAAAAAATAGCTTTTTCCCTCCCCTCTTTCTTTTGAAGCAATTTATCAGCCTTCGTTAAAAATTAGTTTTTAAATGCTTCTTTTTCTGTAGGTTTTTGGAACTTATAGCCTGCACAAATTTTACCCTGTGGCTGAAATAAACTTAGAACGGATTCAACTTTTAGTTAGAAATTTAGTAAAGTTAAAAACTGACGCAATTCAAAATTTCCCTAATATGGTCCAACATGCTTCGTAATTTCTACCAATTCATGTCATTAATGTAAGTGACTCAATACTGGGCTTACAAAAGATTATTATTTGAATTATTTTTCGTTACATATTTCAAAAATATATTCCCTCCAAAGTAATATGCATTGTTGCTATTGTCTTAATTAATAAACTTATGAAAGTGAATTTTGTAAACCTTTTCCAAAAATAGTTACTTATTAAAAAAATTTTTACTTTGGAAAGTATCGGTATCCTTATAAATATGTATTTCCCCTTAAAGCTTTCTTAACCCAAGCCCAACATAAATTTTGAAATTTCGTAAAAATTTCCTTAAAGGGACGCTAAATCACGGGAGAAACTTTTCATCGCAAATTCTCTTTCACCTTCATATGTAATTTAGCAGAAAAAGTGAGTTTAGACATGCCTAGAATAAGCCATAAAATTTCAAAATCTGAAAATAAAATTTTCAAAATATCATGACACTATTAGAAATTTATTGAAAAAAATTTTTTTAATAACAATTTATTTAATTATTATTTTACCATATTCAAACAGTTAACTGTGTGAAAAACCGTTTATTACCTGCTTTACGGTTAAATAACCAGGATTTTATCACCCTAACTAGACCAACATAATGGAGCCACTTAGCTCCTTAGAGATGAGTACCTATTAAAGCCGAGAGAGCTAATCTGTCAATCACATGACTGTCCCAGCGTTGACACCACAATATTTTCACCATACTCTTCAACACACAGAGTTTTCGGTGTCCAGCACTCCCCAATTTAGAAGTACAGATAGGCAAATTATGCGATGAAGAGTATAATTTATCTCTCTGTTCTATCTGTACTTCTTGTGCAACCTATATAGTGCCCACGATAAAGAGTATAATTTGTCTTTCTGTTCTATCTGAACTTCTTGTGTTGTTAAGGTGACTTGGTGCTATATATATGGTGCCCACGTGCCTATATGGTGCTATAGGGTGGCATCAATCCACCTATATGGTGCCCACGATAAGGAATATAATTTGCCTCTGTGTTCTATCTGTACTGCTTGTGTTGTTAGGGTGACATGAATCCACCTGTATAGTGCCAACGATAAAGAGTATAATTTGTCTCTCTGTTATATTTGTACTTCTTGTGTTATTAGGGTGACATGAATCCACCTATATGGTGTCCACAACAAAGTGATTATTAGAAAAGTTAGAATCTTTAGTCTTTGCCAATTTTTTATTTTTTATCATTATTATTAAAAAAGAGAATAACGAAATATTTCTTTACTTTTGAAATAATTCATTTCCTTGAAGATAAAGGAAGAAGGGCACGAAACGTGAATTTGACAAAATATTCGCTCTAAGCCTATACCTGGAAACGGTTTCGTCAAAAATGAAAAAAATTTCACTAAGTTACGGTTGATATCTGAGTATCCATTTTTTCAGCAGTGAAACACTTGTCCTGCTATCTTTCACAGAGAAAAAAGGGGTACCCGTATTTAATATTTTTTTTTAAAAAAAAAGAGAAACTGTAGGCACAAATGGCTTGAAAACTTGTTAAAACATACGAAATTATAATTTTAAGCTAAAAAGTATCTTTTCATTAAAATTTTTCGATTAACCACTTCAAGAGTTGCCTAAACTGCAACGAAAAAAAAAAAAAAAAAANGAGATATGGGAAATGCTTTCTGGAGGTGGAAGTGTAAAGTTTTGGGGATGGACGCGAAAGGTCTTTTCTTCCTTTGCAAGTGTGTTTAATTAAGAAAATCAGATTGGGGAACGAATTCGCTCCGTACGTAAACGGGAAGAAAGTAAGGGAAGAGGTGGCAATTAGAAAGGAGGAGGATTTCCGCTTGTAATGACTCCCGAAAATTCGCCGGAGAGACACATAATTAAGATCCCGCAGCATGGAACAATAGCCAGAGGTAACGCACTTAACGCGGTCCCTTCCTCAGGGGGTCGTCTTCAAATTAAAAAAGGATAATTCAAGTTTATATTTTAGGTTAAAATTGTACAAAAAATAATTTAATTTTTAAATTTAAACTGGAAAATAAAAGACGAGGAAATTCTTTAAAAAAAATAACGAAGTAGTGGTAATATACATAGTATTTGTCTCTTTCTGAGGGGATCATCTACAAATGAAATAAGGATGTTTCATGTTTGTATTTTTAGATTATTTTTTTTTAATATCTAATTTTTAAGTTTGAAAGAGAAAATAAAGGAAAACAAAAACTTTTTTATAAAAGTAGAAATGAAGTTTTAAAGTAGTAAAAAAATCTTGATAGATTTGCGATTAATTAACTATTGCATAGCTGCCATACTGATAAAATTTTCATTCTAAAATTATGATAAAATAACCGACAGCAGTCTGTTCATACAATTAACCGTAAATTTTACTGTAATGAACATTTCTTACCTTTAGGGTTTTGAAACCATTTACAGTTGTTATGGTTAATCAACCATTAGCAACCAATTGGCATGGTTTCAAAACCCTAAAAGAGAATTTCCACTGGACATTGGAGTTAAGTTGTAGTTGAGTTGTATTTTATCAAATAAATCGAGAAATGTGGTTTAATTAGTTTATTTGGTTGTTAGACCTATCGTAAGAGATTGGAAATACTAGACTTTTTTTGTGTTAAGCAGCTTTATTCTGCTGCCATCTGGACATGAGTGAGAGTATCGTATTCTAATAGCCCAGGGTCACGAATTGGGGAGTGCAGGATACTGGAAACTCTTCATGTGTTAAAGGGAATGGACGAAACATTGTAGTGTCAACACTGGGACTTGAACCTCCGTCCAGTCGGTCATGAGGTTGACAGATTAGCCCACTCGGCTATAACATGTACCCAGCTGCAAGGAACTAAGTGGCTTCATCAGGTTATTTAACTGTATTAGGTGAAAGCAATTAATTAACGGTTTTTCTCACAGTTAACAGTTAGAATGCTTTCTTGTTTGCGGTTATTTGACTGTTTTGTTCAAATATGGTAAAATAATAATTAAAGTACCATTTTCCGAGAAATTTCTAACAGTGTAACTCTACTCGATTTACCAGTAAACTACTGGATTCTACCATTTTCTCCTGGTCTACTTATTTAATAAAAATTCTTCTAGTTTTGAATATTTTAGAAAATTCCCAAAAATGAGTAAGTTTTCTAAGAAAGAAAAAAAACCTATTTAAAAAGCATTTTTCCACAATTTATTGCTTGCTCAAATATTTAAGTAAGCATCGCTAATACATAATGAAACGAGCCTCATTTACAGTTTAAAGATTTTCTTTTTCGTTTATTCTGAAATTTTCAGTTTATTTTAACTCAGAACTAAATTTTTAAATTAATTTTAAAAAAACTTTTAACGATCAGAAAAAAATTATCTGTTTAGTACTCTTTAAAATTTTGAGTTAGCGTAATAAAAATATTTGAAATTCAAATTCATTTAATGTTTATCATGAACTGAAAATATTGCAGACCATTTACTATTTGTGTAATAAAGTATTTGTATTTTGAAGGCAGTAAAAATCCCTAAAATTCCCTATATGCAAAATATTTGGTATATTGTGCTACAATTATCATGGAAATTATAGTATTTTGCAAAATCTTTTGGATTTGTTCCTATCCAGGTTGGCAGCTATGCTATGAGTAAATAATATCAATTAATAAAAGTATTAAAGAAGTATAGCATAGAAATATAAAAAAAATAATAAAATTGTGTAAAATAGGGATAAAGTATCCATTCCAATTCTTGTAAAAATATATATCAAAAATAAATGTTGCATAAAATTAACAGCAAAAATAGTACCACAAAAAAATCAGGTAGGCAAAAAATGTATGGCTTTCATAAAAAATAAAATTTTTCCCCCACAATGTGATTTTTTTTAAATTTTGCGTTGAACCTCTCACGCAGATAAGACATCGGAGTCTCTTTTATATATTTTTTTCTGATGCCCTACTTACAAGCAAAAATATATCATGATACTTTTTAAATATAAAAAAAAAATCTGATAAATACTAAAAAACTTGTTAGTCTGTCGGGATTATATTTGTACTAAATTATAAAATAAAATAAAAAGTAGTTCGAAAAAAAATATTTCCTTCATATTCAAAAATTTATTCGAACATAGATTAGATCGAAATAACTGCTAATAAGAGCTAATGTGAAAAATTATTGCTTGAAAGTGAGCCGTGTTTGGAAAATTTTACCGTTAGCGCAGAAAAAAACACACCAGTGTTTCATGTTGAATTTCATAACCATAAATCATTAAAATGTTAAATTAATACAAAATAATGAAGAAAAAAATGAGAAAAAATTTTTAATAAAAAAATTTGTGTCAAATGGTTTAAATTTTTAGAAGCCAAAACAATAATGATAGCTACTTAATAGGGAAACATTCAATATCAATTAAAAAATTAAATTGTCAAGTAACGCGAGATATATTTAGCATTTTCCCACTCAGTATAAATAAAATTAAAATAGTAAAAAAAATAAAAAATTTCAATGCACAGAAAAGTTACGACAAAAATTAGTAAGTTTACCCCTTCAATACAGAAATGCTTGCTTTTTCTGCAACAATATTTAAAACTTTACAAACATTTACGTTTACTTACAGTGTCACAAAATCATTGCAAAACTGTTTCNAAATTGTAAAAAAAAAAAAAAAAAAAAAAACACTCTGCNAGTAAAAAAAAAAAAAAAATTCAATGCACAGAAAAGTTACGACAAAAATTAGTAAGTTTACCCCTTCAATACAGAAATGCTTGCTTTTTCTGCAACAATAATTAAAACTTTACAAACATTGAAGTTTACTTACAGTGTCACAAAATCATTGCAAAACTGTTTTAAATGGTTTCAAATACTATTTTATAAAAATTATTATGCCGTCATTTATTCGTTACCCTGAGCGAAACAATTTATTAGGGTGGGAAAAGTATTTAAAGCTATAAGGAAAACACTTGATTAAATTTATTCCTTTTTACCAGCTTCAGCTTATATTTTTACGAACTTTACCTTCAGGATTCATACTTCGAATGCGATAATCGCTAGCGTTACATTATCTAGAATGCTACTTGAGACGGAGTAACGAATTTCTATAATTTTTATACTGCTTATACTGATTATTGTATTCTCTTAAAATGTTTTTAAATTCTATCATTTGAAACAAAATTTCTCGAAAAAAAGCATAATTTCAAAATTCTATAACCTGTGTTAAACAGCTGACCCAATTCTGAGTTAACCACTATCAATGTTCAAAACTGTTGCCTTGTAATTTTGAATCTAACTCAGAAGAAAAAAGGAACTCCTGGATCAAACATTGGGACAATTTTAAGGAAATAACCCGAATTTGCGTTACATTGAGAGAAAAACTACGAATAATTCTTACGTTTAGCCCAATTGCAATAGGATTCAAACTCATGATCCGTGTACCATTGAGGATATTTCTAGTCAACACTGTGGTCGCTATGAGCCAGAAGCTTAACTCTTCTCAACCAGGCACCGATGGGATTTGAACTGGGGTCTCTTAATTAAGAGGCAAACGCTCTATCATCTGAGCCACTACGTGTGTAGTCACTAGTGAGTTTCGCTATTCGATATATCGAATGTCGTCGTGACACTAGTAGCTTTAATTACTCAGAATACAGAAATTACTTTGGATGACTCGCTTTAGAAGATCAGACTACTCAAAATACTAAGATTTCTTTGGATATTGTTGTGGTAGTCAGAATATGGAGTAGTAAGAGTTGTGACCCTAGTGGATCTGACTACTCAGAATACGAAAATTACTTTGCTATTGAGATGCTAGAATATTAATCGGGCGCTAGTATAAACCGTCTGATAGGGATCTTTTGCCGATTTTAGGGAAAAACTTATTTGTAGTTTTTCATACGACACACGTAGTCTCAAAACATTTTTTTAATTTACTGGAACAATAGCAGCGAAAGCGTTCGCTGTTGTCAGTTGCCATGCAGCATTTTACAAATTTGTTAGGAAGTTAATAGGAGTTGCGTGCATATTTTAAAACTGCAGATACCAATGAAAATGAATTCCGGCATTTTTAAGAACATTAAAGGGTCTGCCTAACTTTTCTCTCAACCCCCGTTGCCAGAGGGAAGCGATGCTATCTCGGCAGGGGGTATTTAATTAGCGACAATCTCTCGGCTAATTACCTTAAGCGGAAGAGAAAGACAGCCCAGCACAATTAAAAGCGAGTGGCGGACCGATTGGAAAATAAATGGAGTTTCTCTCCCTTTCTCCCTTTTCCTGCTTTTCCAGTTCACTCCACCCTCTACCCGCCAACAGAATTGCCCTGATTGAGGGTGGAAGGTTTTCCCCTTTGATTCCTTGGTGAGCTGTCGTCTGAAGTTGCAACTGATTCCTTCTTGGCGAGAATGAATCTTAGCCTTTAATCTTTCCATCCATTGTGAACTCACACACAAAATAATGAGTCTATAAGTTCAGTTTAAACCTTCAGAGACGTCGCCAAAATTCTGATTCCATCTCTGAAAAGTTGAAGTTATGATTAGCTGCTTCAATCCATTGAGAATTCGTTATGATAAACTTGGCATAATTAGTCTCCTTCTTCTTAACTAAGAGATTAAGTTAAATCGCCAAAGGTGGAACTGCGAATTACTGCCAATTAATAAATTGTTTCTTTAATCGAACTGTTCCATGCTGTCGTCCTAGTAACGGTGTGAAAATAATTTTAGTAAAATTATTTCTGAAATATTTCTAAAACTCTTTCTCTTTGATAGCAAAAAAGGCGATTTCATTTGTAGGTTTAAAGTTGATTTGAATTGTATTGGAAAAAGAAGAGATTATTTAACATTTTTAGTAATATATTAATGAGATAGAAAATAAATATCGAACTTAAAATTAGACTTCAAATATTTTAATAATACTCTTAATATTTTGCTTCAAAAAATTCGGGATTATTGTTTTACTTTTAAATTTATGCATCGCTTTTTTTTAACGTTACGCCAAACCATAATACGGTTTATTTCTTTTCTACCATTCGTTTAATAAAACAACTACAGCAGACTATATGATAATCAGATGTTGTAACTTCGAGATCAGTATAAGCATTTTCAGATTATCAGACTACATTATAATCAGACGTTGTACTTTCAAGAGCAGTATAAGCATTTTCAGATTATCAGACTACATGTAATCAGACGTTGTTTCAAGATCAATATAAGCATTTTCCGATTATCGGGCTACGTGGCAATATGACGTTATAATTTCAAGATCAGTATAAGCATTTTCAAATTTTCCGAATATATAGTTATCAGACTTTGCAATTTTGAGATAGGTATAAGCAGAACATTGGAGCATTGTGATTTCCTTTAATATTTAATTGTAAAACTTTTTTTTTAGCAAAAACATACAAGATACACATTAGTTCATATTGTTGGGAATTTATTTTATGTCATACATGTACTTTATGTCATACTTGAGATTTATATTATGAAATATGTTTATGTTTTAAATTATGTATGCAATAATTCCCAAAAGAAATTACATATCTAAGTTTTGTTGTTTTCACTCTTAACAACGCATGAATTTTTATTATTACTCAAAATTCCTACGCCTTTTTTTATTTGATTGCTCGTGTTGATGTGCTCCTACAGGTGTTTACAATACTTGTTGTACAAGTTTTCCTCACGTTTCATTACGTTTTCCATACATTATTTTCAATAAAACTTCTTGTGTTAGCTTACATATTAATACAAATATATTTACATTTCTTTTGTGAGTTATTGAAGGTCAAAGCTAGTGTTTTCAATTTATACATTATTTTGTCTATACATAAGAAATTGTGAGAAAATGAACCGACTCTTTCATGCACGTCTAAAATTTCTTTTTAGCAGCAAATGCATGCTCAGCAATTACCTCCACATGCGCATGCGCCTCCTCTGCCTATGATGCCTCATGCGGCGGCCATCGCCGGACTCCAACCACCCACCCTACCTCCGAGTAGCGCGGCCGGACTCCTCGCACTCTCAAGTTCCCTAGCTGGACCTGCGGCTCATCTTTCAGCAGCAGCCTCCACAGCATCTTCCTCATCCTCATCTTCCATAAAAGACCATAGAGACGAGAAAAGAAATTCTAATTGTGAGTAACATCATATGCCTAACTTCATCTATTAAATAGTTATGACGCTAAAAATAAGGTCATATGTAGGTAGCAAAGTGCACGTTAAATATACAGGAGCTTAAAGAGGGGATACCAGTTCAGATTTCAGCTATGTCGTCTGACCTTGGGTCCGGTTTACTTGGCGTTTCTATTATCACCGTTAAGACTAATTATTTTTTTCTTTTGGCTTAGTGTTAAGGAAGGGTACCAGTTCACACGTCAGCTGTATAGTCTGACCCTGAGGATAATTTACTTGACGTTACCGTTAAGACCAAACCTTTTCCTTCAGAGTCAGGTTAAGGAGGGGTACCAGTTCAGGCGTCTGCTATGTCGTCTTTCCACGAGTTGAATTTGTTAGGCATAATAGCATTTAATTTTTCGCTTTAAAATTTTTTTTATATTTTTTTAATTTTATATATTTTATAATTTTGTATATTTTTTGTTTTATCGTATTTGTTTATCAAATAAAATTTTAATTAATATTTTGTAAAGTTTTAGTTAAATTTTAAATTTAGTTTTAGTAAGTGCCAATTGTTTTAATTTTTAAATTAAACTTTTTTTCTATATTTTCCGATTGATTTTCTTAAAGAAATATTTTATGGATTTTTTTTATTATTTTTTTTATCTATTTACTTACTTAATTTTTTTTTATTTCGTTAGCAGTCTATGAACAGAAATCTAACTTATATAAAAATTGCAGGAAAATTAAAGCTGTTCTTAAAACTTTTATTAGTAGTATACTTTGCTAATTTTTTATAGCGAAATTACTCTATGAGCAGAAATCCAACTTAAATAAAAAAATTGCAAGAAAATTAAAATCAGTACGTAAAACTTTTATTTATAGTGTACTATAAGAGATGCTTGTTATTTTTTCGCTTCTTTTTATATTAAAAAATGAAAATCTAAAAAGCCTATAAAATTGATACTATAAAACAACTTCTCTTCCTTAGAAACAAAAAAGACATCAAAACTAGTTTGTTGAATACTTTGCATTAAATATATTTGAAAATTTCGTTGCCACATAACGACAAAACTAAATAAAAACTATGAATAAATTTTTTAAAAAAAAAAAAACTATATTTTTTGGTTTCGTTCGAAATGATAATCAAAAAATACAGATCATCCGCCCTGTTGCGAGCAAACCGCGGCACATAATTTGATTTCGTTGCATTTTTCTCAAAGATACATTTTCGGAGATGAGAGGAGGGATTTGTCAAACTCGAGAGAGGGGGCTAGACAGCGAGGGGTGTTCGAGAACAAATTCAGTGTTCGAGTATGGAACGCAAACAAGAATCTTAGTAACATCAACATGGTTGCGACAAGCTTGGGTCGACAAACACTTTTAGCGTGTGCAGAGTATATGTGCAAAAATGAATTTCGTTTTTTTCTTCTGCTTTTTCTGCTTCAATATTTACCTTGCCAACTACTACTGGCTACAGGGTTTCCAAAAGCTCGGCACGCCAGCAGACATCCGATTGTTTCGCCAGAAATCCGCTTTTCTATTTTTTTGTACTTCTATCTTTTGTTTACATTTTCTATTTTTCCGTTTGTTTTCCTTTATCGGTCCTTCGTGCCCGGGTAGGGATCTGTTTGCCCACCTCCTTGAACTCGTTCTTGCTCAAGGTATAACCGATGATAGAAATGGATAGGTAGGGTTTCGAGAATTTTTTTTTTTTCTCCTGGAAAGTTCTTTTCCATCATTCTTACAAATTTGTGGTAGGGTGAATTTGTTCTTAGATGTAACGAAGAAGGAATAAATTTCTTTTTCGAAGAATCTTGGTAAAAGCAATTTTCGGTCACATGAAATTCGCAAATCAGGTTCTTTGAGGTACTTCAAGTTGATAAATCTAAAACATCAAACGAATATTTGTTTATTTTATTCTACGTTCATTCGCTGATGGTTTATCATTTCAAGACAAAATCAGATCGTTTGATTTTTGATTAATATACCCAGGTATGGCAAATCAAACAATTCTGAAATTGACCAATCAAGCGATTATGTATAATGAAGGATTATTTTAATGGATGATTATTTGCTGAGTCTGAACTTCGAAATCTTTTATTTATTAGCAATCACTCATAATTAATCTTTACTTTTTGTAGCCACTCGTAAACTAAAAGAAACATTAAATGAATATTTGTTTGTTTTATTTTACATTCATTTATTGATTGTTTATCATTTCAGTTCGTTTTATCTTTAATTAATATCTCCAAGTATGGCAAATCAAACGATTCTGGTTTTCCTCTTCGTGGTTTTCCTCTCCATGTAACCATATGCGGATTAGTTCCATTAAAAAGTCCTCCACGAAAGCAAATTTCTCCCAATACTACCTTTTCTTCTGGATTTGGTTCAAATTTACAAGGCTACAGAGTTGAACATTAGTAGCCGTAAACCCAAAATAGGGTCTGTTCAACGACGGTTATAAATTATGAATATCTATCATGACGAATTAGTAATTTGTTTTCAGTTACTCTAAATAAGTAAGATGACTCTTTCGTTTTCAATCACTCGTAATTAATAGGTCTTGAGTTTTCAGTCACTCATAATTAAGCACAACAGTTTTTCGTTTTCAGTCATTTATGGAATATGAAGCTGGGACTTCTCCTTTAAATAACCGTAATTTAATATTTGCTGTTTTTTCTTTTTTTCTTCGTTAACGCAGAAAATACATTTTCAGGGAGTAAGGGTGAGGAACTGTAAAAAGCTGAACTCTTCAAAGAACCATAAAATAAATAACAAATTTGATTCATTTCTCCAAAACTTATAGAAAAAGATACCATTAGTTTTGTTATGGTTTCATCCCATCTTAAGCTCTTCAATAATTTTATGTTACATGAAGCTGTAAACGTTCTTTTTTTTCAATCACCAATTATTTCTTACGTTTGATTACTCGTGTTACCGGTTGCTTACTTGTCAATTTAAAGCCCCTCTGAACATAGATCACATTTTTTCACCGATCTGATTACATTAACTGGAACCTGCTTTTCCAAACTCGCATGACATACTAAACAAGAGACCTCAAACTAGAATAAATTTACTTCTTATTACCAGTTTCGTCATTACCTAATGTGCTTATTCGATAAAGTTTATAAATATATATAATAGTAAGGATGGTCCTTGTGAAATACCCTATACCTTATCATATTCGGACGAAAAACGTTCAGTATCATACATGGAAATAAATGCATAGGGTATACTTGAAAACGTTTCGTTTCTAAGATTTAAGCCTTATTTCTGAGATTCAGATTTTCCATTGCATGCCATACTAAACAAACGACTTCAGACTAGAATAAATTTGCTTCATATTACCTGTTACGCCATTAGCTAATGTCATTATTTGATGAAGTTTCTAAATATACCTTAATAGTAAGGGCGGCTCTTACGAAGTATCCTGTACCTTATCACAATTAGATGAAGTATGTTCAATATCAAACATGAAAAAAAAATGCATATAGTATACGTGGAAAATTTTTATTTCTAAGATTTAAGTCTTATTTCTGAGATTCAGATTTTCCATTGCATGCCATACTAACCAAACGACTTCAGACAAGAATAAATTTGCTTCATATTACCTGTTACGCCATTAGCTAATGTCATTATTTGATGAAGTTTCTAAATATACCTTAATAGTAAGGGCGGTTCTTACGAAGTATCCTATACCTTATCACAATTAGATGAAGTATGTTCAATATCAAACATGGAAAAAAATGCATAAAGAATAGGTGGAAAAATTTTATTTTTAAGATTTAAGCTTATTTCTCATTAAAATCTATATCAATGAATATCATACAAATTCCCGACAAACCTAAAAATAACATAACACCAAGAGAATCATATCAAATATACGACCCGTCTACAAAAAAAAATTTCAAAATACCTCTACCACAAAGAACTTTGAAAGTGCTTAGCATTTCGAAAGATGTAATTTCCGAAATTCTCGTATCGCAAGTCCCACCTCTTCACAGGTGATGCAAAAAAATAAATAAATCTCAGGGCTTTTGAAATCTCAGACCAGCTCTTGAAATTCCACGCCTCACGCCTAGGCATGTCTCCAATATCTCAGTCACTCTTTTACTCAACCTTGTAGATTCTACCATCACACATCCAACGATGCTCCAACGATGTCAGTTGAATAGGAATATTATCCTAGTTTCGTCTACTAACGTTACGCTTCTATCATTTTTTTTTTTTTTTACCTTAATCCCCTTCCTTTGAACTTACTCCAAAAAAACATATATATATATTGTTAAATTTTGTTATTATTTTTTTTTCTAATATAAAAACCTACCGTTTCTAAGAAAGCAACCAAAAACTTTTATATTTTTTCCCCCTACTTTCTTCTCCGATGTCTTGCGTATTTATTTTTCAGTACGGCTTTCAAAAGAAATGAGTAAAATGAAAATATAAAAAAAAAGGAAAATAAAATAAGAATAAATAAAAACAAATCTATCTACAGATAAGAATTTTTATTATTTTTTATTTTTACTAAAGTAGGTATCTCTTGTACAGTAAATGAGAACGCTGCAATAGGATTCTGTAATCGGATTTGCTCCTGTCTGCTTTACTAGAACTCGAAGCCGGTATTATTTTTCCCGAATTAGATTACGCCGGCGTGGCCCACCCCGAAGCGATTGTATTTTGTTCCATTGTTCATCCCCTTTTTATTTCGACCCCTACCCCCACCTCAATGTCATTCATTTATTTCAGTAAAGTGATTTCATTTTTCCAAAAGACAAACAAGCAACCTTAGATGAGATTATTATTATCCAGAAAGAAGTGCAGAGTTGTCCCTCTGCTGCAATTGTTTGCAAATGATTTGGAATGCTCATTTCATATCGTTATTAGATAGGTATGAAGATTGGGGGGGGAGGCTTTTGCAAAAAGGGTAGGGGATGGAAAAGCCGTCGGGATTATATGAAAAAGGAGGAATTTAGTGCAGAGGATAAAAGTAAATAAAATGTTAAGGATAAATACTACGACTTGTGACCCTTTTATCCAAAGCAATCATTTTGATTTTTCTCAGAGAAAACGATGATTAATGATGGGGACTGTGCGCAAAGTTATTTAACTGAATTTTTTTTTTTAAATTTAACTTCTTTGTTTCGCTATTGTTTTCATGAAATGATGATAAAAATACCATTGTTTGTTTAAAATTGCATAGTAATTTAAAGAAGATTTAGAATTTATTTAGCTTAATGTATAGTTCAAATACACGAACTGTTTATTCTTTATTTTAAAATACACTTTAATTTCTCCAATTTTAAGTCTATTTTACTAAATCTTTAACAGCACGAACAATAATATGACTTTTTTACTCTTGTATGTTAGAGTTTTCAGAACAATCTTTCTAATGCTCTTAGACCCCTAAACTTCTTACATTTTCAGCCTGTTAAGCTTTAGTTAAGTCTTAAACAGCGCAAATATTGATATATTTTTCATTGTTGTACGTTTGCTTTTTTTGAAGCAAAATTTTTAATACTTGCAGGCTCTCGATATTTAGTCTGTTTTAACTAAATCGTTAACATCACAAATAGTAAAATATTTTCCGATGTTGCTCAAACGATTTTTCAAAACAGAATTTACTATACTTGGAGACAATTACTACATTTTTCTAATTTTTAGTTTATTTAACCAAATTTTTAAAAGCACAAATATTACATTTATTGCACACTTCCATTGCTGCACGTATGATTTTTAAAAACAACATTTTTCATTTATGCATACACTTAAAGTATTTTTTTAGTCAATTTATCGAAATCTTCAATAGCGCAAATATTACTAATGCATTTTTCGTACGCTGAGTCTTGTATATCATGTTAATTGTCTTTATTAAAAAGAGAACGAAACAATAAACGAAAGCTATGTGCAATCGAAACTACTTTAATAATATACATGTTGTTAAATATTTAAGAAAATCAGTTAAAAACAGAAGCAACTATAACGTTGTGTTGAAAAGTCACCATTCAATGATCACTGTAAAAGACTCCGGATCAAATTCAGGTAACTACGGAGCTGATACTTTTTACCGGAAAATCCATTTTTACCGGAACAGGATACGGAACAGTAATAATTCACCCAAAATCACTCTCTCTAATTAGTAAATATTAATCCAAAAATTACGATATAATATTTTACGGTGAAAATGGATTTTACTGTAAAAGGGTTTTTATGGATGATGGATGCACCTAAAGTACCGGTACTAAATACAGTAATTTGAACTGGAATTTTTCACAGTTTTTACGACAGCCTATTACTATAATACACGTTTCAATTACAAATTTGTTTCTTTTTTCTCACACTTATGCATGTCACATTTATGTAATTAAATAAATATTTCTCTAAAAACTACGATATAATATTTTACTTTGAAAATAGATTATACGGTAAAAGGGATTTTATAGATGATGCACCCAAAGTGCCGGTACTTAATACTGGAATTTGAACCTGAATTTTTTACAGTGATTAGGAAAACACATTACAATAATACTTACAAATTACAATAACGCTTACAAATTTACCCCCTCTTTCTCATACTTATGCATTTCGCATTATACTCATAGAAAAAGGTTTTCAAATGTATATTCTGTCGAATCACATAAAAAAATTTATGTTACAAAAATTTCACAGTAGTTCTCCCCTGTATGTATTTAATTAGTTAACATTCACAAAACTCTCGAAATCAAATAAAGTTTGGAAAACCAGAGAGAAACAGAAAAAAGAAGAATTGAGCCATTTTGGCATAGAATAAAAGATCTACCAACAACCATTTAAGGTTTAGTTTTTCGTAAACAAAGCTTATTAAAGTTCCGTTTCACCGCGTTATTTTCCTTCCCTTACCTTATATGAATCAGATTTCATAGTTTCTATTTCCTTTTTCAGCGTACTTATTATTATTTTTTTCGAATTTTTAAATCACTTGTTCTCTACTACTCATTTTTAAATTTATGAAGGAAATTAGCATTACTTATGCAATGTTTTGTATTAAATGGTTATAGAAATGTTGCGAAACTAATAAATACTAAATTAATAGCCTATCCAGGATATTTAAATTACCATTATTAAAGATATTACTTATTATCATATTTACATTATTAATTAAAATGATATAATCATGGAATATATATGTGTACATACATGTGAGTAAATGAATGATGAATAGTTGAAATAACGATAAATCTAAAACTAGCGAAATAATTAATTCATTATACTTCTTTAATATTACATAATGTTTATCAGAAATATTCTTTAGGCCCTATAAATGTTAAAATAGCTAAGATTTGGAAGAAAAAAAGTCTCTTTTATCTGCGGATTTTTACCGAATAGACTTTCGTAAGATGAAAAATGTTTAGTACACTTTAAAAAATTCGGGATCAAATTAAGATATAAAGTACCGGCACTTTGGGTGCGTCATCCGTAAAATCCATTTTTACCGTGAAATATAATAACTTAATTTTAACAGTAATATTTATTAAATTAGAGTAATTCATTGATTTTATGGTAATTATTATGGTACATCAGACTTTTTTTATTCCGTAATATGTTCCGGTAAAAATAGATTTCATTGTGAAAAGTACCGGTGCCCTAAATGACTGTACTTTTTACCGTAATATGATCCGAACTTTTTTACAGTGCTAGAATTATATGTAATACGTTGTGCATCGAAATAAAAGCTTATGTATACTTTAACATATGTCTTATTTTCAACTTTGATATTATTGATATATAACTTATGGATAATGCGTCATTTAATATATGCACATAAACTTTTATGCATATATCGTTTTGATGTGGATGAATATATCAAATCTCTTTTTTATAGTTTTTTTTTTTTTTTTTTAGAAATTTAGTAAATATCATCTATGATATAATATGCGATATATTTATTCCATGCATCTATGCACAAATCAATTTACAAGATGTTCCATTATTTCTTCTACAACCCATACAAAAGAATTTATTTTTTATTTCTTTTAAATTTAATAATTTTAATTACAAATTTTTCAACTATGATTTAAAAAAGACCAGAAATTTTCATACTTATTTAATAAAATAAAAAAAATTAATAGGAACCTTTATCCTATTTAATAGGAACCCTTATTAATAGGTACTTAAATATCGTACAAAAGAATGGGGGAGAGAAAGATAGGAACAAAAGTAAGCCCAGAAATCAAATTCAACAAGTTATGATATCATAGATTCTGTACCAAAGTCTACTGAAGAAATAAATAGAAAACAGACCATCAGGACAGTTATCGGATATCGGATTCATCATCGTACTCATTCGTACATTCATAAAGTACTGATTATTGATCGTTAAATAATATCGATTGTAAAACAATAGGAAAGTTTTTACTTATTTACAGAATTACATTATTATTTTTCATAGGAAATCGCATATCAATCAGATATTATTATCAATCATATTTCATTTTTACTAAAAAATCTACATAGAAATCTACATTTCCTTATAACAGATCTCACAACATAAAACTAAAAATTTATGCCCATGAAAAAATAATTTTATTTTCAAAGTTTAAACTGACTCAAATGGATAAAACAAATTAAATCTGTTTCATGTATTTTTCACTATCAGCGAACCATTACACGTTTTAATTTTCTACTAAACGAGAGCAGAAATCTAATGATGGTTTCTGCATATTAAATTCGCTATTGATGTGTATTAATATCATTATGATAATGTATATACTTCTTAATTTCCCCTGCAATATACTCTGCAATAAAAAGTTGAACAGTAAGAAGTCCTTATTAAGTTTTCATATTTTTTAACATGTTATCTTCATATATCATGTACATAAAGTTCTGTTTGTTTCTATGTTTTTATGTATTATTTTATTGATTATCATAACTAATGATTATTTTTCTTTTCTTTCTTGCAATTTTTCCGTCCTTTCATCAGCTGTCAACGATGATCGACAGGTATGTAAATATTTTACTTGTAAAAGATTATTATAAATTAATGAGAGATATTAAAATTTCTGTCTATCAATAATAAATCCATTGATCGTAAACGATATGAAATATATATCAATGATGTATATTTTTGATATTAAATGAGGCTTTTTTTATCATTTCGATTCATAAGTGAAGGATATTTTACCATTTTAGTTCATGAATGAGTACGTGCATTTTAACATTTTCCTTCGTGAACAGTATTTTAGTTCATAAATAAGTAATGTTTCACGAATGAGTACATGTATTTGACCATTTTATTTCATGAATGAGTACATATATTTTACCATTTTAGTTCACGAATGAGTACATGTATTTGACCATTTTATTTCATGAATGAGTACATATATTTTACCATTTTAGTTCATGAATGAGTACGTGTATTTAACATGTTAGTTAATGATTACGTGCATTTTACCAGTTTATAAATAAGCAATGTCTTATCACTTTGATTCGTGATTAGGAATATTATATTATTTTAGTTAATGAATGAAGAAGAACACTTCACCGTTAGTGTTTTCATGAATGAGCAAGTGTGTTTCACAGTATAAGCGATGTTTTATTATTTTGTTATTGTCGATTTTTAGGTGAGGGAAGTTTTACCATCAATTTAAAAACTTAAATGCTTTTACTCAGTATACTTTTTTACACGTAGAAGGGTAGTTTGTTTACGAAAGAACAGCCCGATTCGAACAATGATTTACAAACTACAAATACTAATTAAAAAATTGTTTTATTTAGTAACAATTCTAATTTTTTTACTTAACAGTATTGTGTTTACAAAAATGCAGTTTGCTTATAACAATAATTTACAAACTATAAATAATTTGAAATTAGTTTTAAATATTAATAGTATTTTTTTTAAACATATAGTAGTTTATTCATAAAAAAGCAATTTGAACTTAGTATAATGATTTACAAACTAGAAATACTAATCTATAAATCAAATTTTTATAGTAATAATAAGTTATTTTCCCTAATAGTAGTATATTTACGAAAAAGTAGTTCGTACTTAGAACAATGATTTAAAAGTCAGAAATACTCATTTAAAAATTAAATTTATTGAGCAAAAATTATAATTTTTCACTCAATAAATGTGCATTTATAAAAAAATAGTTCGTACTTATAACAATGATTTACAAACTACATATTCTAATTTAAAAATTGAATTTGTGTAATAATAATTATAATCTTTTTTCGCATAATAGTATATTTACAAACAAGTAGCTCGTTCTTAGAATAAGGATTCACAAACTACAAATACTAATTTAAAAATTAACTTTATGTAGTAATATTTATTGCATAATAGTAGTGTGTTTCCAAAAACGTAGTTCGTACTTAGAACAATGATTTACAAATTTCAGGTACTAATTTAAAAATTAAATTTACATAGTAATAATTATAACTTTTTTACCTAATAGAGAAAATAAAGAAATTTCAATAACGAATAACTGTTTCTCTTAGATCTAAATAACTGCACTTTTGGGAAAAAAAATTTCTTTAACGCAGTAAAACACACAGGTGTTTCATGCTGTATTTCATAACTACAAATTATTAAAATGCTAAATATAATATTTTTCACTTATTTTGACCTGCGTTAATGCGAAATGACGAAAAAAGTGTGAAAAATATGTTTAATAAAAATTTTGCGTCTAAAGATTAAGAGATATGTCATTTTCAAAATTGTCATCTACCATTTTCATGCATTATAAGAGGAAAAAAGAGTTTCTCTTTGTGTCTGTTTCTCAAATCTATGTTCACTTCTGCTTTCAATCTCTTCGAGCTCTGTATTTCTTCTTCAAAAACTCTTAGGATATATCGCAAGAAAAAATTGTCGAAAGAAAAATGAAACCAGAAAGAGATTGTGTTCCAAAAAATCTAAGAAGTCATCTCTTGTGGAATCACAAAAATACTTTGAATGAAGATGTGTATGAAAAAAAATGAAACATCCTAGCTAGTGATGAACGTATGTAGAGAAAAAAAGTATCGATATAGATATAAAGTCGCCTTAGATTGTGCCAACTGTTCCATAAAAATGTGATGTTTCGTCGTAGAGCAATAAAAAGAAAGCCAAAGGAAAAATCTTGAAAATCAATTCTTTCATACGTCATTTCCTAAGTGGAAATCAGCAGAAATGAAAGAAGCAGTTGGAGGCAGGAGTTAATCGGTCGTGATTCCTCTTTCCTGATTGGTTTGGGTAATATAACGACGTGTCACGTGTCATGGAGTTATTAGAACGTTATATAGTGCTTTCGATCCCAGGCCACTTATCAGCTTTGATTTTTATCATTATTATGATAGTAATTAGCTAGTTTATCTGAAGAAAATTAATATGTTTGTTCCTGTATTATACTATCATTAATTTATTTATATTATTATTTTACTTTTATTTTTTATTTTTTTTTAAACAAGGAATAAAAAAAATCTTTGATATAATTACGTAAGAAAATAAATAAGTACAGACTTTGTTTCTTTTATAAATTATTATAGCACTAATTCTTAACATTGGTCGGTAAATGTAGAGCTTAGTGGTTAAAGAGTCAGAGGCGACTAAACTGGTCAAAACATAGACTTCATTGTTATAAGCCAATCTTGTAAAATTTAATATGACAGAATAAATGTTAGAAAGTTGAGTTTCGAATTAATTTACTTTTTAAACAGCCCTTTTAGTCAATTTTTGTTTAATTTTTACATTTAAAAATTATATTATTTTTATGTTTGAAATCAACTAAATAAGCTAATTCTTATTTTCATTAATGAAAAGGGTAATTTAATTTCAGATAGAAATAAATTTTTTGCAATTCAATTTAAATGAGTTTTTAATAATTTTAAAATAAAAACTAAATGTAAACGCTCTGGAAAATATTGTTGATACTAATTTTCAGAAAATTCCAAATACCCGAACTTCATAATTTGTGGAGGAAAAAAACAAGTTAATGCATTAATGTTATCAAACAAAAAAAAACTGGTAATAAAAATATATTATCATTTTTAGTTAATAAATCATTTTTTTAAGATTTTCACAAAATTTCTTACAAAAGTGATCCTTTAATAGTAATTTGTATAAAAATAAAGAAATATTAAAAGCACACATAACATAAACATAACTTTTTAAATAAATAAACAAAAAATAAACACTTTTAAAGTATTTAAATTGTCTGCAATTCAATTCAAATGTATTTAAAAATAACTGTGAGATATTATAATAATAAATTTGGAATATTGTAAGATTTTTAAAAATTATTAGTGACCTTTGTTTAAAGTTGCAAATATCCAAAATTTATAATTTTCGAAAGAATAAACACTTCTGTATATTAATGGTTTGAAAGAAAAAGAATTTTTTTTAATCTTATTAAATAATATTATTTTAAATTTATACTTTTATTGCTTTAAATATTTCAATGAAAACTTCTTACAAAAAGATAACGTTTAAAGAAATTATACAAAAAGAAAGAAGTATTTAAAACACACATAGATAAATAACACCTTTCAAATAAACATATACAAAATAAAACTTTAAAGGAACTTAAATTGTTTATAATTTTATTCATATGTATTTGAAATATGTGCAAAATAAAAATTAAATATAAAAGTTTTTTTTTTGTTAAGCAATTAATGGTTAATAATAATTAAAAGTTGAACAATTTGTTTAAATATTGTTTGCTATTTGTTGTATTGCGTAATTGTAAGATAATTCCAGGTACCAGAAATCAGCAATTTTCGAGAAGAAAAAAAAACTATACAGAAGTGCCTTAAAACCTAAAAAGAATAACTTTTTAATCACAAATTTATACTTTTATTGCCTTAAAGATTTCAACAAAAACTTCTTACAAAAAGATACCATTTGAAAAAAATATACAAAGAGAAAGAAGTAATTAAAACATATATACATACATAAATAACAAGTTTCAAATATACATATAAAAAATAAAACTTCAAAAGAACTTGAACTGTCTGTACTTTTATTCATATGTATTTGAACTAAGTGCAAAATAAAAATTAAGTATAAAGTTTTATTTAGTTAAACAATTAATGGTTAATAATAGTTAAGAGTTAAACAATTTGTGGAAATATTGTTTGCTGTATTGTTTAATTGTCAGAAAATTCAGGTACTAGAAATCAGCAATTTTTGAGAAGAAAAAAAAACTCTATAAAGCAATGCTTTAAAACCTAGAAAGAATAACTTTTTAATCACAAATGGAATAATTAAACCTTTTATTATTAGACAAATTGTACAAAAGCCGTCTGCGAAATGTAATGTAAGGTAAAAACAAACCTAAAGCAATTTAGCTGATTTCGGCAAATTCTTCAAGAAGCTGATATTTTGGAAATGTCTCAAAAATAAAAAGTCAAGAGAAAACTCTTAAAAGTAATAGTCGGTAGTTTTAGAGAAGTGTTTTAGTTTGGTGGAAATTTAGAAATTAAGTATAAAGACCAGGGGGATAGAAATCTACAAAAGTAATCGAAAAGGTTGGTAATTACTTTCACCAATCCAAAAGCCATTTTGGTAAAAGGCGTAACAAAGTCATTAACTTTTTCAAACTTTTATGCGACAGAATTTTCGTCCACTACTTTAAAAGCGCATTGTCTTAATGAAAAATATAATTTGTTAACGGATCTGCACTTGTAGAATGGAACTTTTTATTCTAGAAATAGTATTTCAGTTGAAATATTTAATACAGTTTGAATTTTGTAATGAAGCAAGGAAGAATTTACAATTATAAGATTATTCTGGAAAATTAAGTAATGAATTAAAATAAATGCATGGCTAACACAACTGTATGTCAGAAATTTAAATATTGTATTTTTAAAAATATTAGACTTATTATTATATATGATTATAAATAATTAGATAATTACCACAAATGACTGTCCCGATTTTAAATTTAAGTATTTGACATATTATAATATTTGATAAGAAATAAATACATAGTACAAATGAATATCCGGAAATCAAACATTTATAT